CCACTGGGCTGTCACCCCACGCAGGCCGCTGGCAGAAGCCGGGGCGACGATGCTCTCCAGGAAGGGCAGAGCAAATTAAACATCCTGCAGGGAAGATTGTGGCCTCAGCCCATTTTTCAAAGTGAAAATCGAAGCTGGGCTTTTGGAGGATATAGACACGGATCACTGAAAGAAAGTTTAGTTTAAAGGGAAAAAAAAGTAACAAAAGGCCGCACTCTATTTCTTGCTTCAGCTCCCCTATTTCTAAAAAGACTAATACATGGCTGACATCTAAGGAGATAGCTTAGTTCTCACCCACCACCAACTATACGGAAGTTTTATAACACTGAAGTATCTTTTGTTAAAGTTTGTATCTTTTGTTAAAAAGAAGCCACCAAAGAATTCCATGATTTCTTTATTCAAACTATTTCCTCATTCAAATAGTTGGATGAAAAATTTCCAAGGGTATTTCTAATGGACAAGTTAAAGGATGTTCAATGATCTCTCAGCTCTTCATTCCCATTTATCAGAGAGATTATTAAGGTAGGATTTCATAGCCAACAGAGTCAAAAATTTTCAGATGAGCCTCAGATCTTGTAGAAAACTCTCACTCCATGATAAAAAGAATATCCCATATATGAACCTGTACATTGTAAAGAGAAAGAAGAGAAAAACTGGAGAACTCATGATATAGGAATGATTTAAAAAATTGTCCTTTGGGTTTAGTTTCAAGATTCAGGCATGTGCGTTAAGCAGCTTTGTTAAAGAGGGAAAGACCAAGCAGTTGCTCCAAACGGAGAGTAACATTTTGGATCATCCATCTGTCCCTCGGTACCAACATTGTGGTTGATGAGGAGAAAGGGGGGAGAAAGACATGGAGCCTCGTGTGCTCGTCAGCTTTGTTTCCCTCTTACCTGCGCAGGGGTATTCTGGCTAGTGTTATCAGTCTGGGGGGAAAGCCATATAAAATTAGTTAAAATGAATTATTTATGGAGAACATTCATTTCGAAAATATTTGGAAGAATAGAGGGATTGCAAGACAGGGGAAACATATGCAATAAATCTGGTGTACTGTTTAAAAAAGGGGAGCCAGAATAAAGAGAGAATATTGCCTACCTTGTGGGCATAACATACATATTTCAGATTGATTTCATCAGGGCTTTTTTACCTGGTGTCCATGTATTGTAGAATTCAGGGAGTCTGTACACATGGATGGGAAAATTATAGTCTTTTTATAAACCTCTAACTGAAATTGAGCCCTGCCTTTAATTATGAATATAGGTCTCATTAGACTGTCAAAGGGATTCATGGGATAAGAAAAGGTTAAAACCTCTGGAATAACAGTATCTCCACCAACAAATGGGAAAATAAAAATTTCTCACTTCACTTGAACCAAAACATGACTGTATTCAACTACTAAATATATGAATTTAGTAAGAAATGTTTTAGATCAAAGGATACTGATAATATTACCCAGCACACTCTAAATATAGATCATTTTAGTCCCTACAATTGATATTTCCAATTCATTTTTATTTGTTTATTAGCTACTATGAAGCATATATTATGCAAGGCTCTGGGGGCTACAGTGATTGCAGAAGCTTCCAGTGTTTTGGAGGAGTCTTCTAGGTACACGATGACTACAATAAAAAGAATGGTGTGGTAATTTTTTTAAGTTGAGAGATAAGAAGCAATTATTCAGTAACTCACTTGGACTCTGTATTTATTGACAAGGAGGATAGGTCTTCCGAGCCTTCACATGTGCTTCAGTCCATTCCTTTGTGAACCCAGTTTGCTGAGCATCCACCCTGGCAAAGCCTGAAGTGAAGTAGGAGAGAAGCGTCGATGGTCAGTTGGAGACTCACTCACTCACTCACTCACTCACATGAAACTAACATTTTTCTTTGTGGTGATCTCCTGCAACCCTGACTTCTCTCATTTTCCAGGTCATGTGCACCACTGGGCAGAAGACTGTAGAGAGAGTGTCACAAACTCATTCATTCTTCTGAACCACAAATGAAAGAAAGCTTGTTTCCCAAAAATGGTGGTCCAGAAATACAGTGTTTTCAATATTTGCTGCCCTGAAATATCAAGATTTTGTCGGGTTTGGGTAAAGTTGACTCATTTGACTTATGCTCCTTATTCAAAAAGAGATAATTAATGGGAAGTTATTGGCCATTTCAGTGGAAATGCTGTCTCTTGACTTACTGCTGAAACAGCTACTTTAATTTTCAAAAGAAATTGTAAAAATTGATTCTTTTAAGTGCCAGTTCAATTATAACAATATTTTAAGAATTGGCTGAGCACAATAGAAAACTGAGGTCAAATTTCATTTAAGCCTTATGTAAACTAAGATAATTTTATGTTATGCTTGTTAGCAAATACCAGAAGTAGTCAAATCCTTGCCGCTCTGGTTCTTGGGTGATTCACAGTGATGAGTCCATTTCTATCTCTGGATAGCACATACTCTCAGATGCTTGTATTTAATTTGTAATTCTTAGACTAATTTTCTAACAAAGTCTAACATTTTTCTATTATAAAAGAATATGGCTTTAGATGTAGTATATATAATCAGTTTGGAATTTAAGTAAAGACTTCATTAACTAACAAGTTTTTAAAAAAATGTTGCCATATCTTGATGATTTATTTAGCTTTGGAACTTCCTCCAACATTAACACCTAATCCACACTGTTGACCAATGATTCTGCCTTGGGTTGTTGGAAGCTCCCCGCTACCAACCCTCCTCCATTGTAATATGCTAGACTTGGCCCCCTACCTAGACCATTAAGTCATTTGAAGATAGGAATCATGTCTTATAATCTTTTAAAAATCTCTCTAACCTTGGGTTTTATTAATATAGTAAATGCTCAGAATAATTGCTGGTCACTCTCATCCTTAGGTTAGCTAAGGAAAGAACACGCTCATGGGCCATCAGCAGGGACTTGTTCTTGGCAGCCTTTAAGGACAGAATAGGCATTTTTCTGTTTATAATCCTACAGGGACTCAAAGAAATGGACTAGGAGCATCATGGCGATGTCTAACAGTTCCCTGGCCTGTGTATGTGACAAAAGATAATAGGCAAATCAGTGTTTGGCTTACCCAGTATCAAGCAACTCATTTGACTTTTTTTTAAAGAAAAAAAACAACATTGACTAAATTGTTTTGTCTTTTTGTAGACAGAGCCTTGGATCCTATTGATGAAACCATATTTCATGCCCATGCTCCGAAGCAGCTGTAGTTCACTGATTTGAAATAACTTAATGAGGTATTGATTTTGCTGCTCACTGTGCTCTGAAACAACTACCACAATCATGCAAAGCAACATCATAGGGAGAGGGCAGAAGGAAAAGGGCATTTCTAATGAATATGCTAGATGAGTTTCTGTCAACTTGATGATTTGAATTGGATGCTTTAGCATTAGAGAAATGCATTATTTAATTGGAGATGAATAATAGCAGTTCATGTTGCTCATTTGGAATTTGGAATTGGAACTGAAACACATGCACTTCAGGAAACATAAAAGTTTTAAAAAAGCTAGCATGTGAATTAATTATCTTTCAAGCCAATTTTTAGTTGTTCAAACGAGAAGAAAGGGAGAAAACCTTAGAGTGGAAATCAGACCCCAGGGAAAGGAAATAAAGGAACTGTTCCTTTTGCATTTCCTAAACACTCCCACGTGGCTTTTAATGAACTGCATTATTGCATTTTGGCCCTGGAGTTGGAAGGAGCTTTGCCATAAATTAGCAAGATGGAGGAAATTTAAATGAGGGTATTGCACAGACTAAAAACCTCTTCCCCACAGTGCACTTAGCTGAGATTTTAATTGCATGGATAAAAGGTTGGCATTTTGAGGGCCATCTTCAAGCTACCCAACTTTGCAAAGAACTTTCTAGAATCATTGGGTCAACAACTATGATAATCAGGTAAATTCACAGACCAGGCAGATTACCCTAAGCCATTTCCCCGCTCTCTTCCCAATCACCCATGTCCTTTCATTTAAAAAGCCTACCATTGATTGTTTGCCTGAACACCATAAATTTGGTGTTCCCCATGAACAGATTAGAACTGGAAAGGATGGTGCAGTTTATCACAAGAGGAAATGGTCCTGTAGAAAAGCAGTGTAAGTGAGAGGGTCAGAGGAAGAATTTCCAGTGAAATTCTTTACATGGGGAGAGGTCTCCTAGGTCAAGAAAACCATTGGGAGGAAAATAAGCAAGCTCCTACTGTGAGAGAGGAGTCCTCTTAGGGCCAGTTAACTTTCAGATGCTTTCTTGAATTTAAATTTGATTTGTCTTTTTAGTTTCAGGCAGATTCCTTTAAAGCAGTGGTTCTCAACATAGGGCTAGGAAGATTTTGCCTCCCAGGGGACATTGGTGATTGATGTCTGGATATATTTTGGTGAGTGAGGAGGTGCCACTGGTGTCTAGTGATTAGAGTCCAGGGATGTTGCCTCAAATGTCAAGAGTGACAAAGTTGAGAAATTCTGAAAGGAAAAACAAATTTCTATGGTCATAGAAGAAAGAACTAATAAGAATTAGGAAAGCCTTGAATTCTGCTGACTAATGGAGGGAAAGAAATACTAGCCAGCAGAGGCAAAGTTGTGACAAGATGATTTAATGCCATTGTCAGGTGTATGAGGTTACATGACAGTGTGTTTGTCTGGACTGTGTGGCTTCGAATCACTTTGGCTACTTTCCCGGAGCCTCAGGGTTGTAACTGATTTGCTTATAATGAAATGTTTACATGAACTATGTAGTTATAATAAATGCAAACAATGCTGGGTGGGTAGGTTTTTAAAAAATGTATCTCTTTCCTAGTCAGATAATAATCATTTGTTGAGCATCTGCCGGGCCCCAGAACTGTGTTCAAAATATTTTTTAAGCTATTCACATTTTGTTTCTTTTTCCCCAGGTTCATAATTTATTGTACAAATTGAGTATCACATGGTGAGTGGACATTAGCATCTCCAGGCATGGGGAACTAACAGATGAGGTACAGTCTAGAGCCCTTTTAGGTTGCTTTCACAGCTGGATTTTTTTTTTTTTTTTAGATCTTAACTTGAAGTATAAAATCAGCAAAACAGTGCTTCCATATGTGGCCAGTACACAATTCATTCTACCTGTGAGAGTGTAAGAGTTGAAATATTTTCTGATACCAATGCATTGGGATTGGGCATCAGTTTCTGGACCTGCCATGACTTCAGTCTTGCAGACAGCACCAATTCCCCAGGCCGCGTCCCTCAGTGTATGGAGCTACCCCCTCTTTTTGTTTTAAAACAGCAACCCACATCAGTTATCCTCCTGGAGATAGTTTAATTGTTCCAGAAACAAAAGGAACTTCTTTTGCATTCCTTGCTTTTCCACAGGTATTGTAGAGTGACCTAGGGCTGAGGAAATACAGTTTTGGGGAAATACAGAAGGGCTTTCAAGGCTCCTGCAAATAGGAAAATAGGCCTCATGCATTAACATAGTAACAATCCTACGGAGTTTAAAGGGATTTTTATGCCACAAACTCAACGAAGTTATTCTAGGTCTGTTTCCTTTTGGCTCTGATGAGCTTTAAAAGCCCCTCTGTTTCTAAGAGTCAAGGATTCTGTCCTTCTCTGCCAGCCAGTTAGAAATGACAGGGGAGTCATGTACTCATCTGAGCATCTGAAGGATTTGCAACCATTTATTTCAGAGCTTTAGGAAGCTGGTAAAACCAGATGCCCAGCTTTTTTAATATGTGCATTTTCCTGGAGTGACTTTCCATATCTACATGATAATCTAAATGGTCTATGACTCCGGAAAGTGATGATCTTCTGCAGTAGGGGAAGATGCTAATAAATTCAGGATTATAAACTTCCATTTCCCATGGCTGCTAAGAGAGAAAACTCTATGCTGTGACTCTAGACATCACAAATGACCCTGGGGAACTACATGCAAATGGGTGCTATCAATCGCAGAAGTGCAAAGAAAAGCAGCACGCATGGTCAGGACCTCTCACCACCTTTACTTAACATGGTAGCCACCAATAACGAAGACTTGTTATGAAACCGCATATGGGATTTTGGAGGACCAGTAAACGAGTTACCTTTTTCTCCAGGCTTTAGAGCCAGTGGATAGACAAGCCAGAAAAAGCAAACAAACAGATGGGGAGTTAAAAAAAAGACTTTGTTATTTATTAAGCTGATAGAAAAACATGGCTTTAATCAGAGAGATGCAAATTAAAACCACAATGAAATACCACCTGACATTGGTCAGAATGGCTATCATAAATGAATCAACAAAGAAGTGTTGGAGAGGTTGTAGAGAAAAGGGGACCCTAGTGCACTGTTAGTGGGAATACAGACTGGTGCAGCCACTATGAAAAACAGTATGGAATTTCCTCAGAAAACTGAAAATGGAACTGCCTTTTGACCCAGCAATTTCTCTGCTGGGATGGTACCCCAAGAACACTGAAACACCAATCCAAAAGAACCTATGCACCCCAATGTTCATAGCAGCACACTTTACAGTAGCCAAGTGCTGGAAGCAACCTAAGTGCCCATCAGTAAATGAGTGGATCAAAAAACTATGGTACATTTATGCAATGGAATTCTACTCAGCAGAAAGAAAGAAGGAGCTCCTACCCTTTGTGACAGCATGGATGGAACTGGAGAGCATTATGCTAAGTGAAATAAGCCAAGTGGTGAGGGACAAATACTGTATGATCTCAGCTTTAACTGGAACATAATCAACAAAAGAAAAAAGCAAACAAAATATAGCCAGAGACATTGAAATTAAGAACAATCTAACAATAGCCAGAGGGGAAGCGGGTGGGGACAGTGAGGAGAAGGGTTTTCAGGATCTACTATAAAGGACACATGGACAAAACCAAGGGGGAGGGTGGAAGCAAGAGAGGGAAGTGGGTTTGGCTGGGGTTGCAGGGAGTGTGGGGAGAAAATGCATACAACTGTCATTGAACAATAATAAAGTAATTTAAAAAACATGGCTTTAAATGCAGGCCAAATAGGCTTACTAACACACCCCTGATTTCAAAATGTCCACTCCAGGTGTCCCTGGACCTGTCAGACAACCATAAGTGACTCTTTCCTCCAGCTGAACAGGATACCTGGTCTGCAGAAGGCCATGGTCTCTCTGAAGGGGCTTCACCTGGCTCTGCTCAGCTCTGTCTCCCGACCACCAGTCCAATATGTCTCTCCTCCCCAAGAGAGCGATGAGTAAAGGGCGGAGAGCAGTTTTTTCCCAATAACTTAACCATCTAGGATGTTGAGTACATATTATCATCTGTTTTCTTTAGAACATCAGAAGATAAGTAAGCTTTTTTCCTCCAAATTTAAGTGCATCCCTACATAAACTGCAGATTGAAATATTATATTGGTTGGGAGATAATCTTGAGTTGCTTATTACAAAAAAAAATGGAAGTAAAAACCCTTCAAGGTCATGTACAGCATACAAAGAGTTGTCAGAGAAGTTACTGAGAGACTGTCCATAGTAAGGAATCTCTTTTGTCAATAGCTCTTAAGATGAACTGGTGAGAGTTAGACCTTGCTATGTAGAGCTGAAATGCGCTGGGAGGAGGGGCTTCGGAACGGGAAGTATGGGAGTGGACATCAAAGAAGTGATCCCCTAGGTTAACTGTGAGCTAAAGATGTGTCACCTTCTGGGAGGGACTTTTCTTTCCATTTTCTTTATCTAATGTTACCTTCCTTGACTCCACAAAAATGTCTCTGACTTTCTATCAAACATTGTTTAAACTCTAAGTGCTTTCAAGTTGTCACTCTTCTGAAATACTAACCATACTTACCTTTGGGAAAGGTCAAAGATCTTTGAGGGGAGGCAGGCTGGGTGTTCTCAAAGGTCTTTAGCGTTCCTTTCTGTGTGGTGACCCAATGTCCCAACTTGTCTTATGGGTCTCTGTTTATACCTAGTATCCCGCCCACCCCCTCCTCCAGTCCAGCTATTAAATACTCTTCCATTTATCCTCAAGAGTGTCCTGGTTTGGAAACAAAATTATATACTCACTTCAGTTTTCCTTAATATTTAGTTTTTTTCCTTTTAAAAAGGGATGTATTTATTGTTACTTGTATAGTTAAAATCAGTTTTATAAAAGGCTATGGCATGATTTCTGCCTTCAAGGAGAGCTAGCTGAGTATAGGAATAAAGCAGGCATTGATACAGTGATTTTTGCCTTATAAAACACTTTAACAAGTTTATTTAACGGGTTGAATGGTCAGGGTTTGGTATATTTTAGGTAGATGAATGATAAGTGAAGCTGAAGTGACAGGTGTAGCAGGGATGAATGCACTAGTTACACATACACTGTCAATGTCATCTCATACTTGAGTACTTTTGCCTCTACCCATCCTAGTGGCTCCATTGTGTGGAACTTCTTTTTTTTTCTTTGTCTAGAAGGCCAATGGTACTTGAAATTGTGCTGGTCTTTCAAAAAGTTAGAGTTTCTCTCCAATTCCTAATTCACACTTTCTTTAATCTCTAATTAGAACTCTTTCTTTTTCTAGCCTCCATCAAGCCCCTAATTATGTATGAAGACAAAACCAGTAAATGCATGAACATTACTGGTTTCAAAACAAACTCCTGGGGGGACTTGTTTCCCAGTTTCTTCTGACTTACCTGCATGACCCTCCAGCCAGGTCTTCCCTCCTGTGCTGTGATACCCAGCCTGTCATACTCCATTTATTAATGGCTGTGTCACACAGAGGAGGAGGACTCTAGGTAAATCAAGACAGATTGTCCCTCTCTTTTTCTTCCCTTCAAACTTGCTGTTGGGGAGGAGGCTTGGTGTGGCATTGGCAGTAGCTGGATTCACACAAATGCTTGTTCCCAGAACTGATAGCCAACCCATGGTCCCCTAGTATGGTGGTACTGCTTGTTAAAGTAGGAAAATGTTTCTGAACCAGTTGATAAATAGCCACTGTTTCAAAGGCTCCATCCAAGTTGTCCTGTCCCCAGTTTCCTTGACTTTACCATCAGGTACCCTTGGATGTCCCCAGATCTACCAAATAAGGGCACAGCAAGAGGCCATGGGGACCTTGCTCCAACCCATTCTGATTAGGTGGTCCCTGGGCCACATGAGTTATTCCTCTTCAGGGTGCTTCATCATGAATTTGAAATGACTTTCCACAATTTAAAAAATATGAATCAAAGCTGGTACTTTGTAATTGAGCTTAATTCTTTCTTGAGTGTGTGTGTGCATGCGTGCAAGTGTGCTCACCCATAGCAATGGCCCTGGCTTATTTATATCTTTTAGGGCATCTGTATCACCATTGCTGCTCAACAGTTTGGCCAACCTTTTTTTTTTTCCATAGAAGATACGCTTTTGAAGTACAATTTTTTTTTTCAAATAAAATATGGGACTTTCTTCTAGTATCTACCTAACAAATGGTCATTTAGTTTTTGGATAACTTTGGTGATGGAGAACCTACCATCCCTGGAAGTCACTTGCCCTCTGAAGTAAGTTACACAGGAGGACTTACCCCATTTCACAGGATTTTTTTTTTTGTCACAAAAAGCCATATCTGATAGTCAGCAACAGGATTCGTCTCTCTCTTGGTAGAAATGGTCCTCTGGATGGTCTTATTTTAGCCATTCTCTACTTATGCAGATTCACAAACACTTCATAACATCTGACAAATGTCACAAACCTAAAGAAACCAGACAGTCCTGATTCCTGTCTTTTTGCTCAGAAATATACCTTGTATATATTTTGGTAATCAGTCATTATATAAACAATCATTGCTATTGAATGAATGAATGACCAAAGGCAGAAAAATTTTTTTAGACTTTATAGAAAATCCCCAAAGATAGAAATTTCATAAGGTCTGATTGGCCTATTTCAATATTTTATCACAGCAAGATCAAGAGTTTTCCCTTATGCCTAACTAAAAATCTTTGTACTTTTATTTTAAACTAATTTCTTTTTCTTCTTCAGTACTCTGGGTATATTTCCTTTGTCTGGCTCCATTCCCATATCATCTTTCATGTAGACAGGGCAGAGGCAGGAGGGAGAAAGGTCAAACATATATTATAAAAGTGTGGTATTCTAGAGAACTTCATTACCAAATTTATCTCCCCATATACTAATCATTTACTGTAGGGAGCATTTTTCTTTATCATTCCAGATATCTAATTATGTTAAAAAGTAAAAAAAAAATTCTTCTCACTTTGCTCTAGCAAGTTAGGCCAACCCTTTT